GGCGTATTCCAGCTTAACACCGTCCAAATCGGACCTGGATATCCGTGTCAGCCATAGGTGACGGCGTTGTTCAGATAGCTGTTTTGTTTTTTCACATTGATTTACGATTACGGCTGGTATGCGATAGAAAGAGCGTTGATCTCCACCTCCACGGGCCGTGCAACCAACAATTACACACGATTTCACCATTTTTCACTGTCAATACTGCCTAAGGCTGCCACCCAATATGGCGGACGCGCTGAGTAGTCACGTGAGCGTGACGTCACCTGAAAACCCCCTATTGGCTGGTTGGCTGTTGAGTGTTTTCTAGGATTCTGATCAATCCTGAAAGCCTGACTATGAGAAGGTTTGCCATTTACACTAAGTTAACGTAGTAACATGCCTCGCAAGGAATGAATCTAGCTTTGTGGTAATGGAAAGTGAAGGTTAAGCCAGAAGTGACCTCGCTAATCAACTAATCCTTGTTCGTGGTACAGGCCTCTGCACTGTTTTCCTTTGTTTTTTAATATGTGATCTTGTTTTGAATAGTACAACTATTCATAGCAGCAAGAGAAATCCCTTCTTGTTAAATTTGTTTTGGGATACCAGACATTGATTATACACCTTCAAATATAATCTGCATTCTGATCAGTCAGGAAAAGGCATGTCCCACTGGCCAAGTAGCCCGGACAAATGATCAGTCGGAGGCATAGTGACAGGACAGATATTCCTCTGACGGACTGGCAATCTTTCATCCTAATGTCTGTGGGATCAAATGTAGCCTGGGCCCTTCCCTGTGTGCCTTCATTCCTTTAATAAAATAAAAAAAAAACTTTTATCAGATCTTCATTACCGGCTAATCAACACCATACCTGAGCGTGGACTCAGTGATTCCACTGCAGGTAATTACCTTCATATTTTCAGAGAGCATTCAAAGGTGTTGATGCCAGAATGTAAATTACATGGCTGTCCAGACCAGAGATAGAATGCTAGATGTTTTTCAGGCCAATGTTCATACTGATTATTTTCCCATCAGTCTAATTAATATCCCGGATATGTAAAGATGATTTTGTGAGTTGATCATTTTGGTTGTCATTTCTTTCTCATTCTCCATTTACATGATAAAAATTACAAAGGCACAACAAATGTTTCACAAGTCAAACTTTAAACAACAAGAAATATTTATTAAATCAAAACATTAACAATGGATAGCAATTTATATAGATTAAATGACAATACATGCTCTTTTCATAATCTCAAGACTGCTGAATGCACTGAGGTGGAGAAAGGATGCAAGCATAAAAATTAGCAAACAAAATCCCCCACAAATAATAGCTGAAATTACAGGCCCATTTCCAAACAAGATCTACTAGCCTCCAGTACTAGAGTATTCATTTCTATAAAAATTATATGAAATATTTTGTCTTTGCTTTCTTTAAATGGATTCAGAATATGAGCAGAAGGAAACAGGAAACAAAAATTAACTGTAGGAAAACATTTAAACTAAAAAAAAAAAAAAAAAAACATTTACAAACGGCAGAACCAAAATTAACTGAAAACTAAAGAAAAAAAATGGAGGCCTGTTTTTCAGTGTAGTCCTGTTTCTCTAATTGTGACTAACGGTATGTGCTCTCTATCATCCTCTGACATGGGAGCTGGCTCAAAGCTGACTGTGTGTTTCCTAGAACTGGTTTACAGTTGCATTTGTAATCTCTGCTTTTTCTGTATGTCTACTTCTGTCTCCTTTTACTCCAGTCGGCCTCAGCGGATAGCCACTCACACTAAGCCTGGTTCTGCTGGAGGTTTCGTCCTGGTAAAAGGGCATTTTTCCTCTCCACTGTCGCTACAAGCATGCTTGGTGTGAGGGATTGCTTTCAAGTCAATGAGTTGATGAAAGCAACTGGTTTTCTTTAGATATAACACATCAAACCAGTCTGATTGCATGATCTGGTTGAATTGTATCTAAAGTGCCTTGAGACAACATGAGTTGTGAAATGGCGCTATATAAATAAACTGAACTGAAATGGAAATGAAGTGCTAAGCTAGCGCAGCCTATGCTAGCTACCCTTAGTGATGGGTCCAGCACCACTGATGCATGGGTGCATGCGTGAAGCCCATAGAGTAAAACACTGTATCGGTGCATGTGTCGCTGTCAGAAAGTCATGTGACTGATCCAGGAGTTTTTTTTCTAACTGACTGACTCACTAAACTGGGTTCAAAAATGTATCTCTCAACATGATGCATCTGCTAAAAAAAGGAATGGGAACGTTTTAGCCGTTTTTGATTTTCTCATTGTGTCATTCTTTTCCTCTCAGTTATCACTCAACTTTTCCGACTTAAAGTTAATTAGCTTTTTTTCCCTGTAAAATATGATTTAAAATCCTAGTCCACAAGCATCCTCATTCACATTTCCACCTAAATTTTCACGTTATATGTTTACATTATTTATTGGCTGCATCTAAAAATATCAAAGATATTTTCAATATAAACACAGTTATGAAGTAATACAATATAACCTACAATAGCTCAAATGATATCATTGAACTAGGTCATCAAATCAATTCAGTTTAGTCTGTTAAATAAGCTGCCTGTAGTGTCTTTAAATGTCCAGCAGGTCTCAGTATTCTGTGAGACAGACAATGCAATGACCACTTAAGTTTCCCCACAAAGGGGAAACCTATTTGGCAATGTGTGGAACCGCTTCAAGATGCCTCATTAACCCATCACTAGCTACCCCTTACAAATAAAAATCATGTGAATGTGCCACGTAGAAAAGTGGAGCAGCAGTGGTTGTTTTTAAAGTGCTTCGACACTTAGAGTAACTTAGAGATATCACAGAATGGAGAAGTTCTCAATACAGACTGCCTAATTCCCAGTTACCCAGATGTCCCTTCAAAGTAGTGTATTTGTGGGATAACGGCCTAACACTGTCCCCATAAGGTAACAAATACTTGGCCACACATAGACAACCTCACTAGCTTAGGGTTGGTGAGGAAGAGCTAAGGCCAAATGATAGAAATCAGCCTTGGACTCTATTTTCAGTCCAAGCAGCTCCTCCTTAATGACAGCAGCCCTCCTCCACCCTGCTGGGGCCGGACTGGAAGGGCTTCCTGAGTCCATCTGAGGTCCTGGATCGCTCCACACCTGCTTTTTTACATTTACTTTCATTTAACAATAAACTAAAGGTTTGTTAAAACTTTTCATGGTTCTTTTTTAATAAAAATTCTCTTAATCAATTTTAGTCTTCAATATATTATATGAAACTAGACAGCAACAAAGATGAAAAGTACTTAAAAAAAAATCTCTAAACTCAGAGTTCATCATCAGGATCCAGTCAGAGTCTCTTTGAACTCAAACTGCTGCAGCTTCAACCTCTGACGATCATCAGGACACAGATCAGCTTCTCTCCTCCACTGAGATCATCCTCCACCTGTAGAGACAAGAAGGATAAAGAGAGGAGATCAGTGAGTGTTTCCAGCCTCTCTCTCTCCATCAGCTGTCAGTCAGTGATGCAGCACATCCGGGATAAAGAGCAGCAGGGACTTCAGTCCTGTTCAGAGCAGCTGTGGAGCAGAGCCAGCTTCCTTTCAGCTCTTATCTTAACATGTTGGAGTGAACACACTGAGCTCCAAGCTCACACAGCTCAACACATTTTTATGTTGAACTAGATCATAGTGATGGATTTACTGCTGCTACATGTTAGCTGCTGCTCCATTTAGACACAAACTCTGGCTGCTGATCAACATCTCATCTGTTTCTGAAATATCAGCTGACTAAGAAACATGGAGGCTGTCCCTGAACACATCTGGATGAGACTAATGACAGAAGGACACATGTCCAGATGTGCTGAGTGGACTTCAGCAGAGCTTCTGCTCTGTAGAAAGACCACATGGTAACTAAATGGAATGATGGTTTGTGAAATCAGAGCCACTGATTTCCAGGCTGCATTCAGACTAATGACAGAAGGACACATGTCCAGATGTGCTGAGTGGACTTCAGCAGAGCTTCTGCTCTGTAGAAAGACCACTTGCTGACTAAATAGAATGATGGTTTGTGAAATCAGAGCCACTGATTTCCAGGCTGCATTTAGACTGATCTCAGAGCTGTGGCTAAGATGAAACTGATCAGTTGTTTCCTGTTGAAATGAGAAAACAAAGAGTCTGAGATAAGATCTGATGCTCCCACAGTTTGATGGATGAGGACCAGTGTCTCTACACATGTTGGAAGGCTGGCAGCTGGAATCCAGCTTCATTTCCTGGAGACATGAACACAACAACAACAGTCGTCTTCACATCAACACAAACACAGGAACACAACCAGCTTCTGGCTCCTCTGATTGGCTGATTGGTGTCTCCGTGTCCACTCAGGAAGCCTGTCACCGTTCTCCTCCCACTGAGAACCTGCAGCTTTACTGGAAACACTGGGGCCAATTCTGAATACAGAAATGTGTAGCTTTTAGCTTCTCCTCCTTCACTTTTCATGCGTCAGCAGTTAGATCACTATTGAGGTTAGGACAGGGACTGCGGAGTGCTGTGCCATATCTGGACAATGTTAACTATACAATGGAAACATATATGGATGACAGCTGTCAGATCCTGGACAGCTGGTTTCAGGGTAAAAAAATGCAAAAAACAAAGTTACATAGATTTAGCTTATGACTATAGGTGACAATTATAAAGCCCAAATATATAAAGGTGAAAAATGTATTACACACAGTTCACATGAGGATATGATGTTTTTTTCCCCTTAAACTCCATCAGGTTGGCTGTGCCTGCATTTTCTCGCAAGACATTGTGGGAAACCATATAGCTCCTATTAACCAAATGGGAAGATCCCTATATTAAATTAACTGTTGAAAGTAAATATGCACTTTACTCCTCCTCCACTATCAGCCATATTCGCAACACAGTTATGGACAATTCAGGCAAACGTACAGTTTTTCTTAAGAGCTTAGCGATTTGCTGTATCCAGATTAAGTCAGGATGCCTTCTTTTCATCTTTATTAACCACTTTATTTTCTTGCCTACTATGTAGGCGAGAGCCATCATTTGTCCTGCTGCTGAAATGTGGTATATAAATAAACTTGCATTTGCTTTGATACTAACTGGGTCTAGAACAATTCTGCTGACTGCAGCTGGACTCACTCCAACCATCTACTTACTTCACAGTCTTTAGCTCGAAATCTGGACTCTTTACAAGATCCTCCAGCTGCTGAACCCCAGACTCTTTCAGGTCGTTTCTGCTCAGATCCAGTTCTGTCAGATGGGAGGGGTTGGACTTTAGAGCTGAGACCAAAGAAGCACAGCTGATCTCTGACAAACTGCAGCGCCACAATCTAACAGATGAAAAGGAGAGAAAAATATGCAACAGGCAACATATTAAAGCTATCAGAGAGGACAAGTGAAATTAAAGACAACATGCTACTGCTTCAAAAATGGAATGTTAATGTGACTTAATATGTAGCTTCATGGTCTCAACCAGCAGCTCAGTTAATAAAAACACATTTATTAACTGTATGCTCACCCTTTTAGATTAACTGTTATATCAACGGGTTTAAAATCATATAGCATAGCATTTTTGTGCCAAACTTAGTGATCAAGCCGTTAGTTTGAGCTACAACCAGGGGTAGTGTATTATCAAATTTCCCTTATTGTGGGGAAACTTAAGTGGTCAGAATGGGGACATTCAATGGGTCCCCAGATGTTAAAGATTTCTTCTTTGAGTTGGGGTGAGGATTAGGTATATGTTGATAATAGTTAGGGTTAGAGCAAGGGTCTGGGTTAGGAAGCTATCTCTTCTTACCTCAGTATCTGCAGTTTGCAGTTCGGAGTCTGTAGAAAACCACAGAGCTGCTCCACTCCAGCGTCTTTCAAGCGATTCTCGCTAAGGTCTAGTTCTGTCAGATGGAAGGGGTTGGACTTCAGAGCTGAGCCTAGAGAAGTACAGCTTCTCTCTGACAGACTGCAGTTCCCTAATCTGAGAAAAGATAAAAAATGTTAGCTGAAGTTACCAGAGTGCTGGTTAAAAAAAAGGTATTGTTGAAAGTTACACAGTACATTTACTTAATTAATAGTGTACTTTCTACTCCATGGAAGCTGTTAGTTACTTGTTCCTTTTTATTCAGCTTATCTTTGCAATCCAATGTTGCTGTTTTTATTTTTTTAAATGTGATATCAACATGGAAAATAGCAGCCCATAAGACTCCACTATTTTAGAGACCTAAATGACATTCCACAAATGTAAGAATCTCATGGAAGAAATTTCTTATAGTTTATAATTTTATGAAGGCATTAGTTGTTTTCTCAAGGCAACAGTCTCAAAGCAGTTGTAGTTTCTTTGTGGTAATAGATTCAACCTTAAACCTCTATTCCATAGTGAAATCAAGACACTCCTGTTTTCTTTTTGGTTTGTTCAAAAAAAATCAGAATAGTGGTCCCTATTTTTGGTGACAAAGTTCTTTGTGTATAATAGAATAGAATTAAACTTATCATTACAATGGCACAAGTACAAAGCAACAAAATGAACTCTCTGCATTGAACCCATCCCCTTGGGAGCAGAGGGCTGCCATCGTTGGGCGTGCAGGGAGCATTGTAGGGTTTCCACAAGTTACAGGCTTCTTTAAAATTACTCTGAAAATTATACAGAAATGTAGTGACATTAGAAAATCTAATCTGTTTCTTTGAATATTTAAGTACTTTTAAATGCATGAACTTTTCAATACCTTGTATTTTAAAAAGTGAATACTTCAATACTTTAACTTAAGTAGATGTTTGACCAAGTAACTTTTTTTGTAGTTGAGTAAGATTTGACTATGCGTATCAGTACTTTTACTCAAGTACTACTGTTGAGTAGTTTGTTCACCACCGTTTTTTTATGAATTTGGTCTAATCTTGCCTTAGAAATATGATGTGGCACGGTGGTAATGCACCTTGAGTTCTGCCAAGGCGCTCTGGGAGCCCAGGTTGCTCTGATAGCGGCCTTTAAGTTATCTCTATTGCTTGCTCTGCTGTCCATCATCCTCCTCTGGACAGTCGTTCAGACATTCTCTGTGTAAGGGACTGCACATTAAAGCTAGCTGAGAGCTAAAAATCTGGTAAGAAAAAGGTTTTGTTCTGTTGAGATTGATGAAATTACAATAATTCCTGTTTAATCAACTAACCCAGTGACACAGGTGCGTTGCAGCACCTAAAGCCAAGAATACTGGTAAACTGGAGGGCTTTGCCAGTAAGGACTGAGTGAGTTTCTAACTTGTTATCATTTGCATGGATGAAAAAACAGTGTGGTTTATACTAAAGTTACTATTCATGAAGATGGATTAGTAACTATATGACCACTGTCACCAAGTGTTGCTAGGTATTTGGACAAAATATTAGTAACACTGTGAAGCTATTTAAAATGTTGTTTGGTTTTTGTCAGTACAAATGAAAACCATTCTTTTACACCAATATACCAATTTTAAGTGTAAAATTAACTTAACCCTATACAATATAATTAAATTAAATTTTTGATAAAACATGGATAAGAGATAAACAGGATAAATCTCTAAAGAAAAGACATGACAAAATAATGAAAAACAAAGTTCCAACAAAAAGTGTGGATAACTACTTCACGATCCGTCTGCTTGAAGGTGAGCATTAACTCAGTTTTCATCTTATATTTATCTTATGAAATCTTACTTGAGTATATTTAGTCGACAGAGTGAACGCTTGAAAAAATGGCATAACTCCTCAACTCCAGCATCTTTCAGGTCTTTGTTTCTGTTCAGGTCCAGTTCTGTCAGATGGGAGGGGTTGGACTTCAGAGCTGAGCCCAGAGAAGCACAGCTGTTCTCTGACAAACAACAGCCCCACAATCTAAGCGGAAAAACAAAAAACATTTGTGTTTAAATTCATAGCAGTCCAACGAGAAAGAGCAGATAAATAACTGTTTTTGACAGAGATAATATTACCACATGGTAAATACAGCAGGGTCAAAGGTTAGGGTCACACAGCAGATAAATGCAGTGGTGTCAAAAGTACCCACATTTGTTACTTAAGTAGAAGTATAGATACCGCAGTTTAAAAACACTGGTAAAAGTTCAAGTATCAACTGGACCTCTTTACTCAAGTAAAAATGAAAAAATATGTGCTCCAAAAAAATACATTAGGTATAAAGTTACCTTTAGAAAAACAGCCAGATGCAACTATATGAATTGAAAGCTCAACTTTCCGACTATTTCTAAAAAGAAATGAATTTGAGATAGGGCCAAGGATGAGGGAGGTCTTGTTGATCTCCTTTTCCCCATACGCACCCGCCTGTGTCCGACCTTTCAGACATTTCTACAAACTTTTTCTGAATCCGACATTGTAGCATGGCATAGACAATTCACGTTTGCAGTTTGAAGAACACCCTCTTGCTTCTGATGATTTTGTTTAGCTAACCAATTAGTGTTTGCGTCATATGACTCATCCAATAACACTAGTTTTCACTAGATGTGGAGGGCACCAATAATCTGCATTGGATGGTGCACATGATGTGAAATAAATTTCGGGGTTCGAATAAAGAAAATCATCAACCAGTAAAGGTCCGGAGACATTTTTAAAGATCTGTTACTTTAAACTGAATTTAACATTAAAAATAAAATGAGATGTTTATGCATCCATGTTATACACTGAATTTTTAAATAAAAAAAAAAGAAAAAGAAAAGAAAGTTTTTCCATTTTAAAATCTTAAGTGCTTTTTGAAGTAGAGAACAACAGTATATAGACAATTTCCTTATTCATATATTTTATAAAATACCTGAACTGACTGTCTGTTATTTTTCCTTTTTCTGGCTTAATGAGAGCAGTGGACGATAGGCTACACTACAAGGCTTTAAACCTGGGTTCGAATGGAGACAAAGCCATTCTCAAGCACATATCAAGGTGCTCATTTTGAGCCTCGATCAATATTTCTTTTTGATTGTGTTCATGGTGGAGAATCCTGCTTCACAGCAGTAGTTTGAGCCAAACAAACTCAAAATGTTGAGGCTCTGTTCCTCTATTGCAATCCCACCAAACAGGAAAAAGTACAGCGAGAAGATGCGGTGTGTCAAATTAAAATATAGTAACAACAGTTTGGTAATAACAAATTAGAGCATAATTCCTATATATTTCAAAAAACGAACACCGTTTATTTAAAAGATTGGATGCAAACTATTGGTACATCAACAGACCAGCAAGCAGATTTCTTATCTTCATCAGAAACCGCACATATACTGGACGCTGATTGGGATTTTTTAAATATGTCTAAGCGTTCATTTCTGCATGTTTTGCTCCTACGGATTTAATGATAATATTGCGCATGCTCTCCTAAAGCTCAGAGGAAGTCGGAGTGCAGAAATATGGAATGAAGCGCAGAGTCTGGAGGCTTTGCTTTGGGAGATTTGGGGGTAACAGGAGAAGCGGCACGGTCCGCTAATCCTTGACCTCTGCATTAAAGCCAAGATTAACTAGTAACGTTTGTTTTAAAAATGTAAGGAATAGAAAGTAAAGATGCTTGTGTAAAAATGTAATAAGTAGAAGTCAGAAGTAGGAAGAACTATAAGTAAAGAAGTAAAGTATAGATACCTAAAAAGTGTACTTAAGTACAGTAACAAAGTATTTGTACTTTGTTACTTGACACCTCTGGATAAATGCCACCCAAATCCCATCATTTTGCCCATCTGAATTTTTCATGGTAGCCCAATTCCAATATTTTCAATAAAACAGATGAGCCATTTCCATATATGACAATACAATGGCTGTGTATATGAGGATCTCAACAATCTGCAGACTGAATGGTCGCATCTCATTGCATGTGAATTCGACAAAATTTTCCTAGTTCTCATCACACATCTACCTAGACTTGCAACAGTAATAGTCACTTCTGCACTTAAGGCAAATGATAATAGCCGGGCTCAGGTTCCTCTTTCTTTTCTTCATCTCCTTGTGATGTGGCCATGATACTTTCGGTTACCATTACTCAAAAGTTTATTTTTTCCTTTCAAAGAAGCTTTATTGAGCCCTACTTTATTGAGCCCTACTAGTTCATTAATTATTCAGCTAAACCGAGTGTGTGACTCTACGTCCGGGTTGCTTTAGTGTCTTGAACTGTTTAGACAGACCGGCTGCATGAAAAAATCCTTAGAAAATCAGCTGAACAAAGATTATAAGCACGTTCATGAATCAGTATAACTGTATAATGTATTGTAGGATCAAAAATAATCACAAGATGGAGTTAAACTTTTCTTGTCTGGCTAATGAAAATAAGACAACTCTAAACACTGAAATGAAGCCACAGTCCACATGGTTGTTCAATGATTAAGATAAGGGAATGTTTCTTTTACTATAGGTTTTAGGCTTATTTATGTTACACAAGGTATCATTGATGATTTTGCATATTAAAATATTTAAAAGGGATCATGTTGCATTTTGGGAAAAAGGAATTACCTTTACAATGGCCATTTTGAAAAGGTGACCCCAGAATACCAGTAAACTATTCATCTAATCTTGGTTGCAGACCAACAAAATCAAAGTACCTGTGTGACCAACCCAATCCTCAAACTCCAAACCAGTTCACAACTGGGAGCTGACATTACAAATATTGTTCAGAGGCTAAACCAAGAAAATAAGAGAAATTATCGAGTGTAGTCAAAAAATTCTCGGCTGCAATACCTGCCTAAATGTGGCACATGTTTGTTAGCTTTGTGAAACACAGCAGTTCTATAAAACAGTGGTTATATACAACTAAATATTACATTGCTAAATTTTTTGATTAAGTAAATATTTGAATGTGTAAAGAAAAATTCAGCCTCTGCTTATATTTTTTTATGAACAATGTTTATTTTTCTTTAATTTATGTAAATGGATGTGAAGAGTGATATGTTTTTCTACATGGTTTGATTTTAAATATATTTTACAGTATTTCAGATGCACAGAAATAAAAACCATTTAAAGAATTTTGAGCTTTACGTATAACTTCCAACACACTGCTACCGTTTTAGATAACTGTATCCTGTGAAGTAGGCAGTAAGCTTGAGAGTATGGTATAATGGATGTTAAATCAGTCTTAGCACAAAACAGGGTCTCTCACCTCAGTGTCTTCAGTTTACAGAGGTAATTCTTCAGAAATTCACAGAGAATCTTCACTGCATCATCATTCAGTTTGTTACTACTCAGGTCCAGTTCTGTCAGATTCGAGGGGTTGGACTTCAGAGCTGAGATTAGAGAAGCACAACTGATCTCTGACAACCTGCAGTCTATCAATCTGAATAAAAGAAAAATAGGGAAGCAAGCAGAACACAAGTGAAAAATAACATGATATAATACATAAAAACTAATAAAACCAATCCACTAATCAATCCATGAAGCTTATTTCCAGTAAACTAAACATTATGGACAGTTTCCCCATCAAGCACGGTCAATACAGATGGCAACACACAGCTCCCATAAGAAAAAAAAATATTCACAAACACAATTGTGTCTAAATTAGATTTTAGAGAGAAAAAGAAAGCTTAGATGCATGTAAGCCATCTTACTCACTGTAGAGGGAAGCAAGAGCCAATTCCATCCTTAAACAGTTGATGACGCGATATCGACTTAATTTAATTTTCAGTCATACCCAGTCATACCAGGTGGTTCTGAGTTATTATTAACAAAAAGCTTATTTTTACCAAATATATCTTACATTTAGTAGCTGCACAGCAGGCTGATATAAAGCTTGTAAAAACCCAGGGTTTTCTGGTTCCGGGTTGAACATGGGGACATCATAGCGAAGTAGCTCCCCGTTTAATGTTCAAAATTTGCCCTGTGCGCTCTATCCAGGGAGCAGGCAAACAGGATCAGGCAGAGACCACTTTGGGATACAAAGAGAAACTACAGGCCTTTAGAAGATCTACAGAGATCGACTAAGATTTTGAACAAATTTAGTCTAGATAGACAGCGTCTTTTTGTTTTGTTTTTTACAGCAGATAACAGGGCGGATAAAGAAAATACTTCTTTAAGTTGTAATCGGTGAATTTGTTTACAGATTCTGACACATGGAAAGGACTGAAAAAGGTCATGAGGGAACTGACAGTCAGGGGTCATCGCTCAGAGCTTGAAATGAGCTCAAAAAAGTGTGGCAGATGGATATAGTGCAGAATGGTAAAAAAAATTTAGAAAACCATTGATTTCACTATTACACAAGACCTCATGTTGGTAATTACTAAGGAGGGCAAAGATGCAACTAACTGTTCACATTATAGGCCTATAAGTGTGCTGAATATAGGTTATAGATTATTTACAGCAATTCTGGCACAATGTATTGAAAAAAATTACCGGACATTATTAGTTTAGATCAAACCAGATTCATTAAACATAGACAAACCCATTATAATCATTAGTGATATTAGTGAAAAAAAATAGAAACCTTAATAATAGGAATGGATGCAGAAAAATCATTTGATTCTGTGAGGTGGGATTTCTTGTTTAAAACAATTAAGAGGTTTAACTTTCATGAAAGGTGCATTGATGAAGTGTTAGAAATTAAAATATCAACCAGCTTTGAATTTATGTTTCTTGGGAGAGTTGAGATTCTCAATTTAAAAAGAAGAGACAATTATAAATTACTTTGAATGATGCTGTTGGCTAGCAAGAAAGCAATCACCAGAAGATGGGGAGGTGATTTTGAGCCCAAAGTGGATGAATGGATTAATGTAATGCTAACCATTTATAATATAGAAAAGCTAACTGCGTCTGTTAAACTGATAATTGACATTAGGGCTGCAACTAATGATTATTTTAAAAATTGATGAATCGGCCGATTATTTTTTC